GACTGTCCCCAAAAAACACCGACCCCTCCGTGCCCCGAAACCCAACGATTTTGGGACCCTTGAACCCAACGATTTTGGGGCCCTTGAACCCAACGATTTTGGGGCCCTCGGCAGCGCTCGGTCACCGCCACCCAACCGCCAAGCCCAAGGCCTTGGGCCAAGACCGTGAGGCCACCAAATCCCACCAGGAGAGGACCCCCAAGACCGTGAGGCCACCAAATCCCACCGGGAGGGGACCCCCAAGACCACGAGACCACCAAATCCCACCGGGAGGGGACCCCAGGGACCCCCCCCGGGCGCGGTACCTGCTCCTGCAGCTCGGCCAAGCGCTGCGCCCGCTCCTCCTCGGAGTCGTCGGAGGAGCTGTCGCTGTCGGAGGAGCTGTCGCTGCTGCTGTCGCTGGACGAGGGCGGGGCCACCTTGGTGGGGGGCGGCACCACGGCGGGCGAGGAGGCGGGAAGGACGACGGGCTCCTCCGGCTCGTCCGGCATCTTGGCGAAGCGCATCTCGAACACGTCCTGCGGGCACAGCGGGGCCGTGACACGGCGGGCGGGGACGGGGGGGGACACGATGGGCAGGGGGGACCCTACAGACCTGGGGGCTCTACACAAGGGACCAACAACCACATCCCAAAAGCTCCCGGGGCTGGGGGCTCTACACAAGGGATCAACATCCTGAAAGCTCCCAGAGAGGGAATTCCGAGCGGCTCCCACACGGTTTGGAGGGAGGGGGACACAAGACTTAAAAGCCGCCTCGTCCAGGTCCTTGAGATCTTCGACGTCCTCCTGGGTCACCTCTGGCTGGACTCGAGGACCTCAGAGGTCTTTTCCGGCCTTAACGATTCCGTGACAATTCCACGACGGATTCACAGGGCAGAGCTCAGGGTGGGAATCGCAGCTGCAGCCCCTTCTCCTCTTCGTCCCACTGGGATTGTCCCAACCCACATCCCGGGAAAACCACCTCGATTGATCCCGAGGCCTCTTCCCAACATCCTCCAGAGCCAGGGATGCGACACCAGTTTAATTCCTTTATCCTGCTGATGGGAAAGGCCTTTTTGCTCCTAAAGCTTGATAGGAAAATTTATTTTTCTTTAAATCCCAGCCCAGGCAGAGGAGGGGGGAGAACCTGGTTGTGTCTCCAGCCAGGTCATGTCTCTGGCCTGGTTGTCTCTTGGTGCCTGTTCACTCCACCTGAAGGGTTTTGGCTCCACCTGAAGGATTTTGGCTCCATCTGAAGAGCTTTGGCTCCATCTGAAGGGTTTTGATTCCATTTGAGGGGTTTTGGCTCCATCTGAAG